AAAAAAAAAAAAAAAAAAAAAAAAAAAGATAAAAATCCGAAAAAACTTCAAAAAAGACTGTTATGCAGAAAAATAAACTGAACAACTTTTGCCTCAGGGTCACATTGAAATTCTTCACCATTTATTAAATAAAAATAAAGTCGACATTTTTTTTTTTTTTTTTTTTTGGCCCGGCTGGGCAAGTGGCCCCGAGCCACTCTGGTAGCCTAGTGAACGGCACTGAAACCGTTTATCTTTATCATTCTTCTTGAAGTTGAGCGCAAGCTGCCCGCATGGGTGTGCCTCTCATGTACAAGGCTCGCCACGTTTATGAAGTTGAGCGCAAGCTGCCCGCATCTCTGTGTGCCATAACGACCCACTCGTACGCTGTGAGAAAGAGACGAAGTAAAGGGGAAGGTGATAAGCACAGGGAAGAGAGATGAAGAGAAAAAAACAAACAAAGACCCAAAAGGGAAAGTAAGTAAAAGTACGGAGTGTGGAATGAAGATGAAGGCACAGGAGAGAATAAGAAAAGCTCAAGAGCGAGTCTGTCCTTGACGACAGACAGGACACACATTGTAATATGAGGTGGGTGAGCGCCTGGAAGACCTAGCTGAGAAATATCAGCACAACAATTGCCACGACGGCTGGCATTGAGCATACCCACCATACACTCCCGACAATGGCATGTCGATTGCCCGCCAAAATGAGGAAAGAACGCTCACCACAGAAGACCATGCATTCAGTATAGCGCCCATGGCCGCAAAATGGACATATACTGTCTGGATGCGGGCGGTGCCTGCAGTCAGGAACGGAGGGACAGTCCTCTACACACATGGATGCAGAAACCATCTGATTGTAGTGATTCTGACAGAGACGATGGCTGCTACAGCCCAGTGTAACAGTGTCTGTAGCTATGCAAAGGAGAAGGTCGCTGAGTGTTGGTACATTGCCCTGCTGGAGCACGGGCCCAGAGGAATGATGATCTTCGACATAAAAGAGATTGGGGACAGTTTGGTGAGGCAAGAAAACAGCATCATTTTGTAAGAAATCAGTGACATCAGTCATGGCATGGACCATGGTGCCGTTGTCCCAGAGCTCCCAGTGGTCAGAGGCATGTACAATGGCAATATAATGGCCAGGTACGTGCACAACGCAGACAGAGATGTGGGATGGAGGGATCAAACCACTCACCTGCTCGAGCATTGCGTAGTTCAAGTTGGCGGTCCCTCGTTGCTACTTGTAGGACAGCCATGGTAAAGCCTCTTCCCCTGCTATAATATATATATATATATATATATCGTCAATATATATGAAACTCCGACGAAACAGTTTGTCACAGCCCCTCGTTTGTTGTCCTCTTCTCCCTCTCTGCCTCCGGTTTACCGGGCAGTTCTATTTGA